CATACACACCAGTTCGCCCAAGGTGGTTACAACAAGGATAATCTATAAATAGACCCATTTGTCCTCGTTTTTACACACGCACAGAACATAGGGGAAACTTTGCCCAAATTACCATAGAACCGAGAGATTAAAGGAGTGATCAGAAGGGTCAGTGGGTGAAAGCCGTAGCGGCGGGTGCGGGTCGCAAGGGCAGGCCGCGAGGGATTTACGCTTGATCAGAATGGATAAAACCGTAAGAAGTTCACGCCGGCATAAGCATAACCAACCACGGTGTTGCTAATGTGTGTTTTAGTAAGGCTTAGCATACCGAACTGGTACTCTGGTTTGCCGGGAAATCCATGCTTGGCCAGATTTAGACTCGGCTGGTCAAGCGGGTGGATTGGTTAAGAGTCACGAAAACCGCCGGCCTGGAATTGAGATATATCTGGTGCTAGATGCTAGTAATAGTCGGGGCCGGGTGTGGCGCGAACCGCCGAGCGACTCGGAGATGGAACCGAATCCATCGAGACTCGGCTGGATCCGAAGCCAACCTCGGTCCGGATAGAATACATGTCCCAAGGACGAATAAAAGGGCTAGGTATTAAAGCATAAATTGCTTGCATGCACATACATGATAGTTAATCAAAGGAATACATATATTTATATGGCTGGTTTTTAGGAAGCGATGAACGCGGGAAGGAAAAAGGATAGGCGCACGGACCATTTAGCCAAGGATGATGGGTGGTGTGGTAGAACAGATAGATAGGATTATGCGAACTTATAATAGCTTATATGCAAACTCTTAAGTTATATTGAATCCTTTATTATATCAATAAAATATCTGTTCTCTTACTTTTTTATTATATATCGACTCTAAGTTAATGAATATCAGAATATACATATCGAAGTTGGATTGATTTAAGGATATGACCCTAAAATGGACTGAATGGTTTGGAGCCAATTAGCGGTCCGAACGGGAATAACCTCCACGGGCTTATAGCTCGGGATGGGGTGTTTCAGTCAGGAAAGGACGACCGTGGTGAAAGCTCTCTTGGCCGCGGTCCGAATGAATGTACCCGCGGTGATCAGATATGAAAGAAAATCTTGAATTTGATAGACTTCTTCAGTGTTCATCATCTCTTGATTATAAGAATCCATTGGGTTGTTGCAGCCATCAAAGTTACACGTATTGTGTACTTTGTTTGGTTGTTGCAATCCAAGTTGACTCATTATTTGATGGAGACACTTCATAACTTTCGAGATCTCTTCTTTCTTCTCAGGAAGTGCAGATTTGCCAAAGATTGCTTGGTTACGAATACATCCTGCCAGGTTGTAGATGAAACCACGCGCGTCTTCTACGGATCTAGTGGAGAAATCTCCATTATTACTTGCTGTGTCGAAAGAATGTTGTAATTCTTGAGTTACGCCTCGGTAGAAGATACCCATCAGGTATTCGTCGGAATATCCGTGGTGTGGACAATCTCTTTGGTATTCTCAAAATCTCTCCCAAGCATCTAAAAGATCTTCATCTTCTTTTTTTTCAAAAGTTCTTATCTTGTTCCTTAAGAGATTTGAACGATTTCTAGTGAAAAAGCGATTTAGGAAAGCCGCTTTACACTCTTTCCACGTTTTTAGTGAAGCAGGTTCGAAAAATTTTAGTCATTTGCTGGCATTGTCTCTCAAAGAGAATGGGAAAAGAATACACTTGTAGTAATCCTCATTTGCTGTAATGGTTGCACATAATTCTTCGAACGTCTTGATATGGTCCATAGGGTGTTCGGATGAATAACCATATTTCGGGTTTTCATCCTCTGGTAAGGCTGGTTGAATAGCTCATCGTCGCTCAGGTCATCTTCAATCAGGTCACCATGCACACGATATGGTAGATCCCTGAGAGTCTTGGGAACATGTTACCGGTCTCCCATTGTCGAGTAACCTGGAAAATTCAAAAGAAAAAGTAAACAAGTATTCTAATGGATTGAAGCTGGGATGCAATGAAACAAATCAAAGTTCCCATCAACGGCGCCAAAAACTTGATGCGATTGTAAACGGGGTTGGTCGTTTTTACTAAGATTCAGGTTTTAAATTTGTATTCCCTAAATGTCTGCACCTAGGGTATCGATCCGCAAAGACTTAGTTGTTTCAGTACGAATTCACACTAATGCTTAAATCAGACTAGAACTAAATAGGTTTGGGTTTGGGTTTTGGTTTTGGTTGTCACTAAATCTAAACTAAAAAGCAAGTAAAAAGCAATTAAAATCTAGCAAGTGAAAGCAAGTAAAAAGGCGAATAAAATCAAAGGCTGTAGACAATAAAAAACGGATGTGACTTAAGAGTATTCACAGGGATTCATGGACTAAACCTATGTCAAAATTAAGTAAATGATAAAGGTAATAAACTATGTATGTTCTAGAACTCGAGCCACGAAAGTATGAATAGCCTACTTTTGCAGTACTAAACAACTATCTCTCCCAATCTTGACCTGTAGGTTTTCACTCTGATTCTGGAAGGGAATAGATGCAATAGTTGAACAAGACTCATCAACATTCACAACTCATCTATAGGTAGATTTCCACACCTATAGAATCATTGCTTGTTTCACCCTAGGTCAGCCAATCAATGAAAGCTTTCGCAATAAATTATATCTAGATCGGCTTCTAAGTGGCCATCAGAGAATCACACAGTATAATTAAAGGTAAACGAAGAACATCTAGACAATTATAAATCTTAAATCTATCGATTCATAGATAAGACACACAAATTTCCCTTTGAAAAATCCCTTTAAACCCAACTGGGAAACTACTTAAACATACTGTAAACAATCATCACGAAGTGTTGAAAGTTGCAGGAAATTAAAAAGAACAAGGAAGAAAAACGAAGAACAGAGTCGCAGATGGAGGCGCTATGATGCTCTCCTCGACGGCTCCTCTTCGAAGACGGCGGCCTCCCTAGGGTTTCACACGAAAATCTCTCCACTCTCTCTCTCTCTGTAAGTCTGTCGTATCCTCCTTTAGAATGACCTAAAGAGGGTATTTATAGCTTCTGGAGTTGTCCTTAATACTTAGGGCTTCAAAATAATAAAGAGAATCGACTTGGGCTTTAATTAGGTCGTCTGGGAAGTGAACGTTGTCTGGCCGTGGTCATGGTGCTCCTACCCGTGGGGAAACATGCTTTAGCCGTGGGGAAACTGTCTTTCCGAGACTGCATTTTTGTCTTTATTGCATCGGGAGTATCTGACGATCTAACCGTTGGATTGTTTCCAAACCAAGTGTATTAGAAAGCTGGTTGTATCCTCTATGTTGTCTCAAATGTTGAGGGTGATCGGACGGTGAAAAGGTTTTCATCGCTTGTCATACTTCTGACGGTCTGCATTTATCCAAAATTGCTCATTTGTTCCAAATTGCATATCTTTTGCCCAAGTTTTCTGAAAAGTCTTTTGAAACTCTAAAACATTGAAAACACTTTAAAACCATTGAAAACAGAGTTAAAACACCTGCATAACACATTAATATGATCTATAAAAGTGGTCAAAATACATTGTTATCACCTCGGCTCATATGCCTCGAGAAGAATCAAGCCAAGGCAACGCATGTTCTTGAGCTTTTACCCAGATTTTTGTGCCTCGACATGCATGCCGCGAGTTGGAAACTGGGACTGGACCTTGAGGCACACCATCCAGGACTCAACAAAGCCGGGTCAGTACCCAGTTTTTCCTAGGCTGACCCGATCCAAACTCATCAATATATATACATTTTAGGGTGCCAAACCCTACTTACCTTTTATCCTCTTTTAGAACTTGCCTCTTTTATGTAAAAACTATCATTTGTGAAGAATATCTTTTTGAGTTTAATCAGATTTAAAGCAGTTTCTTTACATCTTATCATCTCTTCCCATCATTCAAAGCTTCTAGTCATGATTAACAACACATCTTACAAATGATTAAGTGTGTTAATCATGATTAGTGAGTAGTTATCTTAATGAAGTTCTATATATGTAGATTACAGTGCAATAGTGTTAGATTAGGGTGCTTAGGACTAGATTTATGTTTTCATTTCTCTAAATACTTGATCTTAATGCTGGGTTTTAGATGATCTCTCTAACCCAGATCTTAGGCGTTTCATCCACCCAAAAGATGTTTGATGAAGTGCCTGAACCAACTATTTTAAAGGTTTATGCATTACTACCATGGGAATGTTTGTTATATGCATATGACATTTTAAGATTGATTTATAATGTTGTTTTATTGTTATGTCTCCAATGATGATTGAGTATGAGTAATAATCTGATTTGTGTTTTAATGCTTGGAAAAGTTGCTTCAATTATATTTTATATTGTCATTAGCACCTTGGTTGATCACTTATGCACCTTAGCCAACTATTATGTCTACAACTCCATGTTTTCATCATTTTCATATCATTATCTTGTTATTGCTTGCTTTGTTTTGTTTGATCATTGTTTAGACCTGTTTAGTTTAGTTATGTCACTTGTTTGAAACCAAATCACTTGTTTACTTGGATTAAGATACAAATCTAACAGATTAGTGTACTAAACACCACATTTATGGATTGATAACTCTTTGTGCTACAACACAAGGGGAATTGAACCCACAAGAGCCTTGAAAAACCCTTATTATCATCGAGCAGTAGCTTTCAGTGGTTCACATATCAAAATAACTAGTGGTCTAGTAAGGTGGAACATTTCAAACGTGATAAGATATCTATTAATGAAGGGAAATTGGAATGAGACAGTATTAGTACATCACAGCGTCTAAATATTTAATTCTTAGAATTACATTGACTATTCTCGTCTTTTATATTGAACTTGCTACTTAGTAAGATCTTTGTTTGACTGATCATGTCTTTAGTGCTACTAATAATAACAATGTCACCAACATACAAGTAGAGCAAAACGTATCCGTGCACAGTACTTTTGATGTATATCAACATATTATATTCATTAATGCTGAAACTATTTGAAAATAAGTTTGATTTAGATACAAAATCTGTGTAAAAATATTTATAAATTCCCTCAGAAACTTAACTTTGAATCAGTCATAAGAACTCAGTATTAGCATGGTTAAAACCATCATAGGGAATTATTTGCTTTCAGTAGATCATACTCGCAGACCAAAAAAATACTCTTAATTTTAAACATAAATGTTCCCTCAGAAAATCACTTACAAATCAAATAAAAAAAACTTTATCAGGTATACATTAGCATGATATTGATTTTAAATCATCACAGGGAACAAGAAAAATTTAAAGTTACGATTATATAGAGAAAAATTACCAAAACCATATAATTTTAGGGTTTAAGAGCTCAGAATAATGTTAGAAAACAGTTATTTTCCTTGACCACAAAAGGCCTCATAATGAGCTGGGTATAATGTGTTATCATCATCGCAGCATAAACCCTAAAAAACATTATATCAACACAGTTAAATACAAAAACGAATAAAGACATAATTAAAAACTATATCAGTGGAAACTAAGTAATAAATACGAAAACTCAGATTCCAAGGCTCAGATAAATGTATGAACATAGTTATACTCCTAGACCACAAAAGGCCTCATAGAGCTGGGATTATATGTTATCATCATCACCGTAAGAACCCTAATATCCTAAGTATTAACATAGTGACCAAATAAACTCCGATGATAAATAAACGAAGAAATCAAAACCGAGATTTTGAAACAGTGAATCGAGAGTCGAAATCGAAACGAAAATCAATAGATTCAAGTACAACGGAGAATCGAATTACAAATTCGACGACTAGAGTAAAGGGTAGATAGAAAATTGAAGAGATCAAAACATGAGAGACGCTGGTGCTAAAAATTATCAAAAAGAGATTTATAAAGACGGCAAAGAGTAACTAGGGTTTTCATATCCCGAGCCGTAATTTTAAGCTACGCCATTTTGTTTTTCGGCTTTAAACAATCAGGCCTTTTTAGAATTTTATCTGGCCCATAAAACTTAGTTTTTGTTTTTTGTTTTTCTTACAACTATTTGGTTTATATCGAAGCCCATAAACGAGCAGGTTACAACAATTTTCGAGCCCAAAACTTTACAAAAGAGGCCCAATTATACCAAAATCAAAACAAATAAGGATCTATCTATACTATCTATACTATTATTTGCGAGGTCAAAAATTTGATGTGTCGTCTTCACAGCGATTGTCCTACGTATCATTATTAAAAAAATACTAAGTGACATTTTAATTTGTTCTGATAGGTCGATTATTAATCCTACATGGAAATACCTGTGACATATCTTTTTCCCTCGATTATAGGCCAGCGATTTTGTTTATAGGCCACTAATCTCAAAGTCGGCTCAAGCCACTGATTCTTGTTATGGGCCACCGATATTTTGGCTATATATACTTCTCTCGGTCTTCATGTTTTCTTACATACAACCTCTGTCTTCTAAGGTCTAGCATCTTTTTAAAAAATTCATCTATGTCTTTTTTAAAAATCGATATATAATGTTATTTATTCATTTCCGTAATGACAACTTACTATTTTTTTATATTTCATACTTCGCTAATTGAATATTTCATCTCCCGCCTTACAATAGGATCGTCAGGTAAATAAAAATTTATGTTTTTTTATTTTAGTTCGTGCTTTAAATGTTTTTTTTCTGCTTCTATACGTTCTTCTTATGTAAATCAATGGCCTAATAGTTCTTTCCTTCAAAAATTTTATGAATTTTCTATAGTGACTAGCAATCTTCCCCTCCGTGATCCTCAGATTTTGCCATATCATCTGCCTCCATCTCAAATCGTTTTTACAGAAGATGAATATTTTTCTGCTGATGTTTACAATGATAAATTTACAGGTTAGTTGAAGTGTAATTAGGACTATCCTGAAGTCATATCGTATATGTATTCTGCATTTCCGACCCACTGGGGTTGGTATTGTAAGAACATTAATGGCATCCCCGTCTTTGCGGCAACTCCAGACTGAGTCTTATATCCAAGTGTAACCCTGACCCTGGCGAAGCCTACTACTTGAGGGTTTCATTGCATGTCGTTCACGATCCATGTATTTATATGGATATAAAAACAATTAATGGTGTTGTCCACCCTACTTTCAAAGATGCATGTTATGCTTTGGGTTTAATTCACGATGATACCGAGTATGTCGAAGCAATTGAGGCAAGTCAATGGGTTCCCGCTCCTCTCTTCAAATGATGTACACTGCTTTGTTACTTGCAGGTTCTATGATGAATCCTTTTCGTGTTTGGAGATCCATTCAATGTTTTTTAGTACAAGTTTCATTAATTCTTTGCATTGTCTTTGATTTATTTTCCTTAATTATCTTATTTTAACAATTTCTAAGATTTTTTGTTGTGTTTGGATTTTAATTATTTTCCCTAATGTACTTTCTAAATTTATTAATCACAAAAAAATAAACGATTAATTAGTTTTTGCTAATTCATAATTTCTATATTGTTCTTATTTTTACCTATTCATAATTCTTATTTATTGATAAAAAGACGTACAAATAGTTTTCCTAATAAATCATATATATTGCTCTTACTTTTTTTCACCTATAATTCTTATAACTTAGAAGTATAAGTATAAAGAAGAAAACGTAGTTAATGATTAGAACTCAAAAAGACGAATTTGAATAAAACTATGGAGAATAAGAAGCAGATGAGAACACGAAATAGTGAAGAAGAATAAGGATATGAAAAAAAGATGTTGGAGTTAAAGAAGAAAACCGGAAGAAAAAATGAAAGAAGATGAAATGGGAAAATGAAGTAGGTGAAGATGAGAAAGAGGTCAAGAAAAACCATAAAAATAGAAAAAGAAGAAGAACTGAGATAATACAAAGATGGTGAAGAAGAAGTCAAAGACAATGATGAAGATGAAAGAAAAGGGTGAGTAATACGAAAATTGAAAGATATATAAAAGGAAGAAGAAAAAAAGTACAAGTCATAGACGATGAAGAAGAAGTAGGAAAATATGAGGATAAAAAACGATGAAGAAAAAAAAGTACAAGTCAAAGATGATGATGAAGAAGAAGAAAAATATGAGGAAAAATAAGATGAAGAATTTGGGGCAGAAAAAGAAGGCAAAAGCCTTAAATTGGAGACTGAAGAAGAAGACGTGGGAATGAAGCTAACTTTGATTTACATGGTTTCTCTGACTCTGATTGGGGAGCCTGCCCGGACACTAGACATTCAGTAACGGGCTATGCAATGTTCATTGGAGATTCTTTAATCTCTTGGAAGTCCAAGAAACAGACCATTGTGTCTTTGAGCACTCCGGAGGCAGAATACAAGGCAATGTGTATGGCGACTAAAGAGTTGATCTGGCTTAGTCAACTTCTTAAAGCTTTTCGTGTGCCTTTCTCACCTCCAGCTTACTTGAATTGTGACAACACCTTGGCTCTACACATTGCGAGCAATTCGGTTTCCCACGAGAGAACCAAACACGTCGAGTTTGATTGCCACAAAGTCCGCGAAGCTATTGATTTGGGAATTATCAAGACTATGTAAGTCAAAACAGGGAATCAACTTGCTGATGTCTTGATAAAGGCCTTATACCCTTCTTTATTTCGGGAAAACATATCCAAGATGGGTTTTCAAAATATCTATGAATCCACATCTTGAGGGGGAGGGGGTATCAACATTGTAAATACCGGTTAGATTAGTTGTATTTAATTTTCTCGGTTCAGTTGGTTTAGGATAGATGTATATATATACTTTGTACATTGAGTTTTGATCGAATACAGAAAATATCTTTTCCACAAAGTCTCTTTGCTCATGAACTCTATTAGTGTCCAAAGCATATTTTCCTCTACAATTATTTGTTACACATCTTGTTACTTCTACACTTTGATACCAAAAAAATAAAATTTTATGGCCAAATCCTTTATTTTAAACTTGTCACGAGATACATTAAAATGAGGTCATTAAAACCAATTAATTCAATGGAATGTGAGTTGTGTGATTCAGGTCTCACCAGTGTGGGTGTGGGATGCTTCAATGAATAAAATAGAAATAAATGTTTGATGAACCATCTAGCTACTGCTTTTACGCAGATTCATTTTCTAAAACCTTGATAAATCACCTGAACTCACTTGGATGAGCAAAGCGTCGTAACCTGCGCGAGTGTAGTTAATGAAGATTTGTGACTATATCGAATCTTGACTATTTATGCATATTTAACTTCTTGATTACCTGAGGAAGTTTAGTGACTTAGGTTGTTTAGGTATAGTAATTGGCGCTGCAGGAGTATGTCAATATTTCAGTCGTGATTCGAGTTCCAGAAAATATCTATTGAGATTTCTTGTTAATTTATCTGATTTAATCGTTCTATAATATTTCCTGTGAATTCTCTGGCGCCCAACACAATCTCTATTGATACTTACAAAGTTATTTACTTGCTTTAAGTTTATTCACTTGCAATTTAATGATCACCACACAAACAATTTCTATTTTCGTTTTTGCTTGATTCATCTCTCATAATTCGTAGTGTTACAATTTCTGGGTCTCTAGTGGATTTGACTTCTAAATACTATTGTGATTATTGTGGTCTTGCAGCTTATATCTAGGGTTAAAACCATAGTTTTTACTAGCCCTAGAATTATTATCCGGTATCCGGTCTCCGATCCAGTATCCGGTCTCCAATCCAGTATCCGGTCATATCCGATTCGTAAAAACCGAATATATGTGTAGTTCGATTCGGATCTGGATAGTGAAATTAAGTATTAGATAATTTCGGATACAGATTCGGATAATAGAAAATTTTGAAACCGGATATCTGTTATCCGTTATCCATTTGCTAAATATTTATTTATTTTTTAGTAATATTTATTTATTTTTGAGTATGAAGTTTAGATGAGATAAGAATCAGTTTAGAAATTTTTGGACATGCATTCATTTTTTTTGTTTTAATTATGTATGAAAATTGTTTTTGGTTTAAAACCTTTACATATGATTGAAATTCATATTGCATGATAATTTCTATTTCAGATTGTGAGAGAAGAACAAGAAAATGGATAGCACATGGACATGAAGATAAATTAACTTCTCTATTACTATTTTCTCTTTTGCTATGTAAACTTTTAAATTTTGTGTTATTTGAATGCTACTTGAATGCTTTTTAATTTTTGCTATTTGTAAATTCTGCTTTGATAATACATTTTAGTTATCTATGTTATTTTATTATAATTTTAAAAATTAAAGACTTTTTAAAAAAAAATTCAATGAAACCGGATATCCGTAAATATTCGGTTCAAACCGGATATCCGGAGTTTTCGGATCCGGATCCAGATAGGAAAATTGATTATCCGGTGGATCCGGATCTTTATCTGGATACCTTGAAAAATCCGGATATCCGGCTTCGTTCCAAACCTAGTTTTTACAACACTCTTCTTAGCGGGTATAGATGGTGTTTACACC